CTACAATGCGTATGCGATGTTAGCCCCCACACAGCACACTAATGTACTGTGAGCCATTTGTGTCATTCTGCATGACTGAATTCTAGAGACCACAACTGAGACTTTTAAAATGCACAGATGGTCCTTGAATTGAATCCGTGCTTGTAACCATGCATTCGCTTTTCTTCAGTTACACCAAAAAAGGCAGTCCTCAGCTTGAAGAGTCAAGTATATAAATGCTACCTCAATACATTAAGATACCAGTATAGTGACAACACTGCCTTTAGATGAACAGTTGGATTTCCATTTCGGGTTTAGCAGCTTGTGAGTACTTCAAAAAATACAACACATTTTTGCCCAGAGTACAAGACACACAAAGCACAAAGACACAGTAAGCAAAACAAAAGAAGAATTAAAAAAATAAAAAAGAATATGCTGAAAATTCTTTTCTGAAGTTAATAAAGCATTTATTTGTATTTTTAAGGCCACAGCAGATTCCTGCCGGTGCAGCTTTGGTGTGTGAGGAGTAAATAGGAGATAAAAGGCCTATGTCTGTTTGCACAGGAAATCTCTAACAGCTTGGCTATCTACAACTCCCTGTTAAGGGAGCCATCCTTGGCAGTGACGGTGCTGGACACCACTAGCAACAGCACTAGAACCACAGTGGAGGTGGCAGTTCTTGCTTAGCCATGAGCCACCTGTAAACAGCTTATGTACAATTAGCAGTACACAGACTATTGCTCTAAAGCAAAGCCAGTGAAAGCACTCAACTTGGTCTGAATTTGAACTCATAGGGTTCCCATCATATATCAGTATAAAGGGGATTTTTTCAGAGCTAGGAATTAGAATTAGATAGGCAATTTTCTGTTCATGTTCAGAAAAACAGCTTTGTTACTCAGCCCACCTCCATTTCTCACTAAAACCCTCCCTTTCAACTTTCTCTCTCATTTAATGTGATTCATCGCCTCTTTAATGAAGTCATAGAAATATATGACAGTTCCTTGCACTACAGCAAGGCCTACTTGCTGATATTCAGGAATAAATCCTTGGTTGACATTGAATTAATACTCTACTCAACCCTCTTTTGTCTGCAGATGATTGTTCAAGTGTAAAAAAAACCCAGGTTGCCAACCCCTCCTTGCATACAGAGTCCATCTCCTCTGTGCTCAGCTCAATGACTGAGCACTGGCACAGGCTGCCCAGGCAGGTTGTGGAGTCTCCATCCATGGAGATATTCAAAAGCCGTCTGGTCACAGTCCTGGGCAACCAGGTTTAGGAGGCCCTGCTTGAGCAGGGGGGTTGGACCAGATGACCTCCAGAGGTCCCATCCAACCTCAACCATCCTGTGATTCTGTAAATAAAC